GCGGTTCAGGCAATCCACTCACCTCAGCCTCCCAAAGGCACGGGATTACAGGCTGAGCCACGGAGCCCGGCTTAAACTTCTTAACATTCCAAGTCCTACTCTTCTGTATGCACTTAAACACAGGGTGTGTCCATGGTTTTTCCACACAATGTCATCCTTTGTGCCATCAAAACCATTGATGAGGCTCTCAGCAGCGCACTGTCATTCTCAGGCAGTGACAACTATTTATTTACTTATTTATTTTTTTAGGCAAGGTTTTGCCCTGTCGCCCAAGCTGGAGTGCAATGGTACAATCATGGCTCACAGCAGCCTTGATTTCCTGGGTATAAGAGATCCTCCCACCTCAGCCTCCTGAGTAGCTGAAACTACAGGCGCTCACTGGCACACCTGAATAATTTTTTTATCTTTGTAGAGACAGGGACTCACTATATTGTCCAGGCTGGGCTCAAGCAACCCTCCTGCCTCAGCCTCCACAGAGTGCTGGGATTACAGGCATGAGTCAATGTGACAACTATTAAAACTATTAGTGACAACTATTAAAACTCCTACCTGTTGATCGCATTCTGATTTCAGAAAATTTAAAATGTGTCCTAAAATCAATTGAATATGCTGTATATAATTTTCCTGAACTTTTTCTTTTCACTTTATTTATATTTCTTAGTTAGAATAGAAAGAGACTTTTGTCTTACTCATAACATATTGGAGAAAAAAGATTTTTTAAAATTTGTTGGTTTGTTGTTAATTTCATGAAATGAGTACTATTTCTGCCTTTTGATTTGAACTATCTTGATTTGAGTTTCTTTTCCTAAAATCTAATGCCTATGAGGGTACATTAAAAACATTTCCCTGGTTTTATTGAAATGTAATGGAAATATGACTGATACGTAGAGGGCTAGTGTCTTCTCTTTTGAATCTCAGAGAATTTACCACAACAGAATGCTTGCCCTGGAAGTTTTTTGGTTTTATTTATGAGATAGGGTCTCACTCTGTCATCCAGGCTGGAGTGCAGTCATGATCATGACTCACTGTGGCTGCAAACTCCTAGGCTCAAGTGATTCTTCTACCTCATCCTTCAGAGTAGCTGGGACTACAGACACATGCCACCATGCCCTACTAGTTTTTTAATTTTTTTTTGTAGAGACAAGGTCTTACTATGTTGCCTAGGCTGGTCTTAACTCCTGGACTCAAGAGATCCTCTTGCCTTGGCCTCCAAAAGTGCTGATGTGAGCCACTGCACATTAGGCCTGGCTAATTATTTAAGAACCTTTTGTACAAGGAAAAATTATAGGGATACGGGTTGACAATGGTAGTAGACCAAAAGTACTTTTCCAAAGAATATTTTAATTCTGCAAAATTACATGGTCATTGGCCATATGAGTTTTTTAGTTTTAACAAATGTCCCATGGTAGTGTAAGATATTAACATTAAAGGGAAGTGTTTGGTGAAATGTATATGGGAACTCTGGACTATCTTTACAACTTTTCTGAAAATCTAAAATTATTACAAAATAAAAAGTTTATTTAAAAAAATA